TGGTAACTTTTTTGTTTTTTGTCTTAAAAACTCAGAGCTAAATTCTATGAAGTGAGCTACAGCCGCTTAACAAATTCCTAAAAATATGCGAATATTAACAAGGGTAGCTAAATTATGAATTTCAGGAAAAAAACGTTGCCAAAGGAACAGTGACCCTGTCATACGATTAAAGCAGATAAAATTAAGGAAAATAAATGTATTTAAATAATGGAAAGAAAATATGAGAAAGAAAATTGATCTTTGAGCGAAAAAAGAAGCCGGGCGTTAAGGTGAACGTTTTATAACGCCATGGGACTCATCCGAGGTCGGAGAAAACGTGAATTAGACGCTTGATTGGTAAAAATGAAAAGACCAAGCCAACGTGAAGAACCGCAAATCAAGTCTTTAAAATAGACTTGCTAGATTTTCGAGATAAAAAAGAATATCGTAGATATTGTTAAATCCGTTGTTTACTTTATTACTTTGGCCCGCTTATCTACTAACAAAAGAAGACATTAATTGAATAAACGGGCTGTAATAAATAAGGCGTCTTTTTACCGATCCCTTTATATCACCGGTACTTGACGTGGTCGAAGTTCTGTCTACTGTATTGGTATATATTAGGGCTGTGATACAGTTACGACTGGAGTTGGTAACGGCAAATAGTTGCCGCGTACCATCCCAGTACTTTGATAGATTATCGGTCTAAAATCTGCTCACAAGCTTACCCCACATAACAGCGGGCCATACGAGCAGTCGAACTAAAGCGGATCAAGACGCTGACAAAGATCTAACATGGAGCGGTTGCCATTCACAAAGACTTGCCCCCCTTTTCCAAAACAATTTCCAAACAACTAGTAGCTAGAGCTATTAGGAACTGTTCGAATAATATATTGCTCTTTCTGCAACTTAGTCGACAACCTATTTATTAAACATGCGTTTAAGCTACGCTAAGCTACGATTTTTTGGGACGGGCTCAAGTTAGACCAATTGAACTGTTCTCCTATGCCGAAGTAATCGCGGGCTAGGTGCGAATTTTATTCAATCAGATACCATTTGATTACGCCTTCCATCAAGTCCGACATCTTTTGTAATCCTTAATGAAGCGATTAAATAGTCTGTGTAAATTATAGTCGCTAAGCAATTAATATACCTATGTACTATTCGTGTTAGGGATTCTTAAGTGATCTATGCGGCAAGGAAAGTATTAGCCTACGCTTGTCCTTACATGACATATACAGACTACATAGCGTGATGGCAGGTGACGAAGAGTAAAGGAGGGGGAGTGAAATGAATTTATCGTTTTAGGCTATCGCGATGATATTCAAAGGGGCCTTTTTTGCTGACATATGCTTCTCGTAATCAACGTGTTCGGAAAAAAAGGACAAAAATGGACTGAACTACTGTTGTATTTAAAATGAGTTAGGGTGTGTTCTGCGCTTTTTTTACGTGTGAAACTTTACTCACATACTTTCAAATGTGACGAAAGGATATGATCGACTGTGTATTTTTTTTACTTCATCCTTAGGCTATTCAACGTACCCAACGTCCTCTAGGGGAACATGGTTACCGACCCCAGAAGGAACATGTGTAGCTTTCTTTCATCTAAACATTAGGGCTACGCATAAGTCTAAGTTACACTATAGTGGAGTTGCCTTGTCATCGTTGTCAAGCTCTGGCATTGTCTAGTCTATAACAAACTTTCGATGACATAAACACTCTCATACGCTTGATACTAGGAAATCTTTTCGAAGACAACAATTTTTAACATGTGAAATTTTGTCAAGGCTCGAAACTGCAAATGACAATAAGCCTATTCAGTATTACCGCATTGTATTTATCGGCATCACGATATTAAGCAAATGTATTGTTGCTTTATTTTTTTTTTATTTGTTTATCTTGCTTATATATAACCATTAATGCGATTTTGTTACTTCGGCGGTGTGGAGTTTTCTATTCATGATCCGGTCCAGAGATACTGTTAGTTTTCGCATGATCATTGTCATATATCATTTTTGCGAGGCAAAGTCCTATTCAGGTTCTGAAATTCAATTCGAACTCGGCATCGGATACCTTCACTTTTTGACAATGCGCTCTAGCTAACAAAAAGTGCGGGAGCGAGAAAGATGGTCGTTCAGATGCTGCAATCGTATAGTTCGCGCTGCGATTCGAGCACTCCCGAACACTTCGTCAGTTACACGCCACATGCGATCTATGCCTTTGCCCTACGGTGCTCATTAAACAACCCAGTACCTCACATATGATAAATATTAGTCATGAGCCTCGATTTGCATAGCACTACCTGAACTCCTATTCTAAAATAATGATCGATAGCGGCTTTTTTTTTAAAACTTGCTTAGAAATAACGAGTCGAAGTAGTCGCGGAAGTTAGTACCGGCAATTTCCACTACGGGCAAGAGGCAGCTAACTATGGGACACAACAATTGGGTAAATTTTTCTTCTGAGCAGTTGCAGCATACGTTTGATATGCTCATATATAATATATTAGAGTATATCCACATTTGTCCTGATGATGATGATGATGATTTGGCAAGAATCATAGCTTTGTATATTAGTTATTTTTCCTTATATAGCCAATGGATTATAATGGGAAACTTTGCGTACATTATAGCAGAACGGATCGATAATTACTATCTACAAACGCGTAGATGTAGCAGATGGTCGTATCGTAGGTAAAAAAAGAAGGTTAGATTCCTCCCAAATCAAACCATGGTAGAAAACGGACCATCGACTTCGATCACTGCTTCCCGCCAACGTCTGCAGCCGAATGTTGCCAGGATATGTGTTAGATACGCTTTTAAGGATAGCCTGTGGCGCAGAAAAGGTGGAGCCTTAAAATGACAACTACATAAGTCCTGCAACCACCCGAAAGTTCAATAACTCAACGGGCATTGAATTTGACATGGTCATCATTCGAAGTATTGTTGGAATAATTTTTCTTATAGTTAATTTTATTTCGGTTTAATTATTCAATAGCTCTAGAAGACAAAGGATCTGGTAAGCTAAAAGAGGGGCAAACAGCTGTCGAGCTATAAAAAGCCAAGTGGCTTGATTTTTCTTTGATACATCATCTATTTGATATAGTTGTTAATGAAAGAAACATTTACTGCAGCTGTTGGCAGTGGGTGGGGGGAGTTGTGGGGAAAGCTGTAACTGCATTTGTTATAAAAAAAAGTGTTCTTGTTTCAAATTAATTAACTCTTATAAGGCGTTGTATTATTATAATTCAGTATAATCAGATGATGGAGCATAGATTCGTGTCATTTTTGCGTTATTTTGGATCAATTTGTTTGTTATCTATTTTTCCTTATTAACTAATGCAAACTATTAACTTGTTTAAAAACGATTTTTGCTAAAAGTGTGAACTAAATACATTCAGGCTGAATTTTGACGAAAGAGCCTAGAATTGTTATGGTGTATCTTCTTGCGTCCGTCCTTTATTACTCGGAGCAATCTGATTAAGGTAATTCTTTTTTGCTAACCATAATCCTATCGTAACAATTATTCCACTTACTGCATCTAATAGATGAGGATTTCCGAGGTAATCCTGCATTTCCGGAATCGTGATCTTGGGGAAGTGGGAAGGAAGATACCTAACTAGATGAAATAATGTCTTGTTTGAATCTGCTGGCAGTTACCTTTTAGGGAGTTTTTTTTTTTTTTTTCAGCAGAACCGGTCATCGTGGCGTTAGATTCTTCTTCTTCTTCTTGTTCGAGTCGCTACCCTTTATCAAATACGACATGACAGCTAGTAATCGGGCTCTTCAGTTACAACCAAGGGCTTACCAAGCTAATACGAGTGGATGGTAAGGCAGTAAAAACAGCTAGCGTCGCAACTTCTGCCATATTTACAGTGCAATATTTGCATATTTGCTATGGCAGCACGATATTCCGTTATTGTATCTATTCGTCTTTGCCTCCTTTGGGCACTTCGCCGCCACATCGCTTCCAACTGAAGGCGTTCCTATTACAGCCGCGTTTGGCCGATACATATAATCATTATGCATCTACATTCGGGCACTTTGTTTACACGTGCTCCGGAATTGCCTTTTAAGAAGACCTTCCCTTACCGGCTACCGAAGAAACCAGTTGCTACCAAAGATAAATCTGCCAATACAGCAGAAATCTATTCTACTAGGGCAGGACAAAACGCGAACCCCATACTATGCCAAGTGATCGGAATAGTTCTGCCGTTTTACTGCGTTAGCTTTGTTTACCTAATTTTCTTCAAAGAAAAATTGCATTGTAGCAGAATTAGTGATGCATCACCGTGCATCGAGTCGAGCATTTGATCCCAAAAAGATGCCGAATTCGAGCAAGCTATCCTAGGTTGGTAGGTTGCCGACGCTGCCGAGTCATACTTTGCGATTTACATAGTCTTCTGGTGCACATTTTTAAAATTATTATAATCTTCCCAGAAGTCTTAACTAGTAAGATGTGTTCTTCGATCTAATTATTTGTCATTTTTGCGCATTCGTACTCAGCTATAATTGGCCGCCGTCAACGCTCCTGTGCGACCCCAAAAATAAACGCCCAAAGATTAACCTCGATTTGTTATTGTTATGTTGTTGATGTTGTTGTTGTTGTTGTTGTTGTCATTGTTAGCTAAAAAAGGGACGCGCCTGTGCGAAATCCAAAAACTCCGATCATGATAAGATCACGACCGCTTTTAGACATCTTGGTACACGCAGATCTCATGCTCTGAAACGTCTCGCTTTTCCTCGAAGGAAGAAACCACCCAACCAATTTGAATGTAAGCGTCGTCTTTGCTCTACATAACGTACTCAGCAGATATAGTATATATGTTTTGTTTTCGTTGAACAATTACTTAAACGGTATACAGGTGGCGCAACTGTCGAAAATCGCTGAAAAAAAAAATAAATTATCAAAATCAAAGCCAAAGACAATGTTAACACTAAGTGTGGTAAGTAAATGATGTACTGATCATCTTCATAGTGATATAGTGTCGTTAGTGATGCTGAAAGTAGTGATCAGCTTACCCTGTGAAAAAACGATACTGCCAAGCAGTGTGAAGATCGCTGCCGCCCTCGTCTTCATAATTCAGCCGTATTTCCGATGCTCCTGTTGACTGGATAGATATATACCACAATCAAGTTGTGTCGTTGCGGCAGTTGTGGCCGATAAGCGTGGGTGTCCCTCTTTGGTTGTTGCTAGTACACACGGTATCCGTAAACGTTTATTACTGGCCGTCTCGACCTTAACCAACGGTAGTGGTAACTACACTGAAAAGTTAAGTATATATGGCTGATCCTCAGTAGGGATGAAAATGTAAGCTGTTAGGAAAGAATGTGATGGGGTTCAGGTAATCCAAACCGAGAAATACGTTTCCGTATATATATATATATATATATATATATCTATATATATCCAATAAAGGCTGCGTTTCTTAGCAGACTGTGTGATGGTGACGTTGTTAATATTTCGGTGTGGCGCGTGGGGCTGCTTCTATACCCGAGCTTATACCTGCCTTACTTTTCGTACGGCTATTGGTCACGCTAACTCGAGCAGGTTTTCAGCACTTGAACAGGGGCTTCGATTAACGCCAGCCTAGGCGCAAAACGTCTGTAAGCTTCCCGCTAGCTAAATTGCTGTCGGTGAGTATCACGATGGGTTAGCTAACTCGGGTAGCATGGTGATGTGTGCCGTGGGCAATAATTGCCCTCTGCAGTTCGAGCAGCGTATTCCAACTCGATATTCACGCAACCACACTTTTGCCCGCCTTCACTTGATCCAAGACACTAGATATATATGAAGGGAACTTCCATTAGCACCACACACACTGCGGTAATCGTCGTAGTAGTAACAGTAGAAGTACTACGGAAGGCGATCAAGTACACCAAGTTGCTACCGGAGAAGCTAGACACCAGACTAGATTCACGTTGATGACCACTGCTATTGTTAGATGGTAGACAGCTCTGGCCCTATGTTTCTCCCCTGTGTCTGTTTTCCTAGAAGTACCGGTCACTACAACTTCGCTCACCTTCAGTAGACTTCGATCTTTTGACTGGGAAACTTTACTTGCTCCGGACTGCGACGCGATTACTAGCTTGCTTGGCAAAAGATGCTCTGACGCCAATAACAATAGCAACTATCGTAGCTCAGCTACGGATTGGTTGTGAGATGGTAAGGTATGGTTAGCCGATGTAGCACCGATATTGCAGCCCCTCGTACTCACTGACAATGATCTGTTTGTGTCAGCCGTGGACGACAAAGAGCACGGTTGACGTCTGCTTCAGCCCACGAACAGCGGCGCGGACTCGCTTCTTCGTTAGCTCGTTTAATCAGACGAACTACAAGCACCCCACTCACACCGACTTTCAATCTGCTACTGTAGTTGAGTAGCTAGCTGGATCACACTGGCTATTTGATACGCGATTTCGCACGGTCAGTTTGTCGATGTCTGTCTGTTTTCACCTCCGTGCGTTCGTCCTTCTGTCGATGGGGTCCAATTCGATTGCTTGGGTCGATCAGATCCAACAGCAGCAGCAGCAGCAGTAGCAGTCACAGCTACCGTCGTTCCTGCCGCTGTTTCCAGCCAGTTAGAGACAACGAAGAACGCAATAAAGACCAGCGGTTAGTGACGGGAACCAACAGCGCGCTGCTGATTCAACTAACGAGTCTCTTCTCACACACACGTTACGACTCGCACACTCACTCACAGTTAATGTCGGCGTCAGTCAGCGTGTACAACCGCTGGTAGTTGACGACTAACCGCCGCTCGCGACGTCGGACGACGGGTTGCGTTGCCTGGCTCTGTTGCGCCGGGCAGTCCACTGCTCGTTGCCCGTACACAGCACAGCTCACTCACTACAGGCAGCAGTGCTTGCTTACTATGGCGATACGAGCGGGTCCGTCGCTTGCCTCTATGGCTTGCTTGGTCTTCCTGTCTGCCTGCCTGCCTGCTGCCTGGCTGGATGGCGGCCGCCTGCTGCTGGCGATGGTGGTAGTGGCGCGGCGGCGGCGGTGGCGGCAGCGGCGCTTGCTGCTGCTGCTGCCGATGTGGCCGCCGCTGCTAGGAAGAGAGAGCAGAGGAACGGAAGAAAGGCGAGGAGAGAAAGTCGCTCCGGTGTCGGTTGGGGAAAACGCAGACGACAACGACGTTAAAGACGACGAAGTGGGAGTAGAGAGAACGAAAATGAACGAATAACTGCTGGTGAGTGCCGAATGAGGCTCGACAGCTAGCAAACATCGGATGACCTACCAACCAAGTGTCCGACCGACGAACGTCGACTGCCGAAGTGAGCGACCACGGCAAGAAGTACAGAAAAATGGGCTCCAAGAGTCGAGACGGAAAAGAAGCAGCATCTAAAATGTGGAGGACTGCAGGAGCTGACTCCACAAGCTTTGAAAGGGTCGCCGCCACCAGAGGGAGCAGCAGGCAACTGCTTGCCACCATTAAAGCAGATCAGACCCGGTGTCCAAAGTGCGCGGATAGTGGCCAGATGTTTAACTGTCATCGGTCGCCGGCCTGACAGCATCACCAATGTCAGCATCTGAATCTGAACGCTGGAATTACTTAATTCGCCTGCAATGAACTGCGTTGGCAATTATGCACTAAGCTTCAAACTATTACCAAAGGAATAAGCTGAGATAGGTAGGTATACCTGAAGGGTACTTCTATTGGTTTCCTGAAGACACTGATAGTTGAAGGTACGTTAGCAATGAGTAGCAATGGACAAGAACCGGGGAAATCTTCAGCGAAGAATAAATTGTTCTGCGTTGTATTATTGTCATTGTAGCATACGCGACTCTACGTGTACGTCAAACTGATTAAATTGCTGACTCACGAACCGAGTTACTGGTAGCCGTTTGCTGGCACGCCCGGTGGTCTATGCTGACCTATACAGGCTATACTAGGTTAGATTCAGGTATGCAGTACAGGAATGGAGTCTATTCTCTATCTTTCCCGTTTAATGATAGTAAGCTCGACAACGGAACTGCTGTGGAAAGGGGCAAATACCACACCATGGCGGCTAGAACAACGTCATTTGGGGCAGTGGCGGCTGCAGGTCGGAGGGGGATCGAGACCGTGAGACAGAACTACCACTCTGGGTGGCTACCAGTCGGGTCTATAGTCAAACGGGCGTCGCACATCACACGGCTATAGTCACCGTACACTTACATAAAGACGGCAGCACAGAATGAGGGAAAGAAAGGCGCACACTGAGCCAGCAGGTGAGGGAACATACGAGCCAGCCGGAAAATCAGACAGGGGTGCGCGAGAGCGGATTCTGCCGCCACCAATAGCAGCAGCAGCAGCGCCCAGCTTCACGCTACTGTCAGACGACGAGCATTCTTTGCTCAGCTCTGCTGGCTTCGTCCCCGATTAATACAGACCCAAGACGTCTGGACAACCCCAGTGAAAACTCTAAACTCCAGCGCGAATCGGGGACAATTACTTAGGTCGTAGAGAACTATATACGAGTATAAGGCTTACAAAGCGAACGTTGCTATAGCTCCGCCTGCTCATCTAAAAATAAACGTTCAGCTTAACTTAGATGTACCGTTGGTTTTGCGCTTTGTGCCTTTCATCTGTAGACTAGATATAGAATGTACGCGGGGCTAGCGCCATGTGGAGAGATGTTTTCGGGGGAGAGCAAGAGCGGAATGGACCAGTAGGGCGAGCGGGTGGAACTTCTCGGCAACCTCAATCACTAGTACCATCTCCACCAGCACCGATGCTCCTGTGACATAAGTTGAGGAGCAGGAATGTGCTTTGAAGGGGAAAACGGGGTGCCCCGAAAAGGCGCGAGGGCGGCTCCACAACCCTCGTCATAACCCATAGAGAGAGCAGGAGCCGTGGATGCAGGTTGTGATCTCTGATGTTCTCTCCAACAGCTCGGATTTTTTTGCCGAAAGCAATAAGGGCGGCCTAAAAAAATGGATCTGTTATCATACAAGTAGCTGGCCTGACCGGATGAACCTGTTAGACGATGCAGTTCGATTTCACAGGACTATACAGTTAAGAGTAATAATTGACAGGTCTTTGTAGAGTTCGCAATCAACATACGCATTGTTTGAATATAGATAGGAGCGGCACTTATTTCTGGAATGCATAATACATGCAGATTATGTTCTGTCAACTCCAAGTACTTGCGGTGATGTCATGTTAATTAATTTTAAGGAGAAATATTAGTTTAACAAGCTTAGAAAGCTGTTTTTTTTTTTGCTAAACTGACGCCAAAATGAATAGGTTTTGCCCACTTTTCGTTTGTTAATTTCCTCTAGCATTTTGAAATATTCTCTACTTATTTCGAATACTGGGTTCCACACCGGTTACCGTTTCGATCGAACGATGGGCTGCAAAGCCGGGTTTAAAACAGCGTCGATGTTAAAACGTAATCTCTGCAAGTTAAAGTTATATAGCTGTGATTACAGATATCCGGGTGCGTGCATCTTCATATCACTCAAGCGGGCTTTAGAACACCAAAGACGCTCTCCTGCTCTACCCTGACTAGATAGATACCTGTCAACAAACGTGATCTGGCAGAAATCGTAATTCTATACAAGTACATCTCTTAGGTAAACATTGAGAATTTCGACCAAGTTGTTGGAACTATACCACTACACGACGAATCGAGAGAACTATTATACCTGCTTAATAATTGCATAGAAGTAGGGTGTCTCGAAAAATGTGGGAGACCTTAAAATCAATAGAGTAAACGCCCGGACTATTGTCTGCTCGAATTATGCAGGTAGAATATTTTAGAGTTTACTGAACAAGACAGCTGATACAAGCGAAGTCTTTTCTCTGACCAGCTGTTAGATTTCTCAGATTTACCTGCGAAGTAACTGGGTTAGTCGTCAAACCAACACCGACATTTTATTACTCTACGGCCATACGGTAACTACTCCTTTCGTTACGCTTCGTAGTTGCAAAGAAAGGAAATAGTATCAGCGATACCTTTCTGATGATGTCTGAAAAAACCTAAACAGGATCAACTCAGTTACTTGGGCCTCAGTTAATAACAATTTGTTTACCCAAATGTTGCGGTCATCTCTAGCGGCCAGTTGATTTAGCACGAATAAAGGCCCAGATTCGTCACTGGTTTTATTAATTATATCATATTTATTATATATGCTATAGATTTAATTCCTGTTGGATCCATGTGAGGCTATTGATATGTTTTTCTTTTTATTAAATGTAAAAATTCTTTTTGCGACAGTTAGTAGAACGAAAGCGAAGGTACAAATATAGGGTTATCTATCAACGTGTCTATCACGGCGATCATTCAACAGACGACTTTATCCTGGGATGCATTTGAAGGGAAAATGTTACTAAATATCTTGCGTAAACTTCGAATTTAACAACCGAGTGCTTTAAACTGGTGATAGTCGGATCAAGTTATGGCGAATTTTATGTGACAAGTTTGTCATTTTCAACGATTTCGTGGATACACTAATTGAAACCTATGTATTAGACGTCTTTGCATCCTAATAAAGAAAACTACGAAGAGATATAGAGTAATCTTCAGGATGCAAATCCATAGGGCAGTAGTGCAATCATCTCATCGTTAGTGTTCTATATAATACAGTTGAGATATTTGGCCCTTTGGAGAAAAGGTCCTACATTTGGCCACCGTGGCTTATACTACTAAATAAAAATCTCGATTCATTAACTGTAAATAGCTACGATCATATAAAGCTGTATAGCTTGTATCTGGTCACACTACTCTTAAAGGCATTATGAGCAATTAGTTTGTAGAGCTACGATTCTGTGATACGAACCATGTTCTTGCTTTGAGATGTAATATAGCATTCTTATCGATGACCATTGCCGTTGGTTACACCAACCCATAAGAGCTTCCCAGAAGGAAGGAGGCTATAAGGTGCCTACAGATAGCAGTCAATCGATGCTAGCTTCGTTATCACCTACAAATCCTAGACTGCAGTCAACAGAGTACGCAAGAAAATTGAGAGACCAAGATGTGAGGGATGCTAGTTCGTCCCTTTGAGCCAGTATAGTGACAGACGAGTGACGTCTGCATAGAGTCATAGCTCGTTTAAGATCATGTTGGGCCTGTGAAACGAGCGTAGATAGCGCTATATGGGTATATAGAGCCGTTGCCAATAACGGAGTCATATAATTGTCAAAACAGATCGAGATGACAGTACGGTATTAGGTATTTTGTTGCATTAACAATCCTGTCATTCCACTCCGTTCCGTCTGTTCGGATGCCGTGCGCCACTCAAATCAACAGGACAATTAGCCGCAGGTCTGACCCCTCTCAAAAGATTGTGTAGTAGCAATGGGTCACCGGGAGATCTGATGCTGTCTGATAATAGCCAGCGTCAGCGTGGCCATCTTGCCGTTCCGATTGCACAGACTGCCATGGATAACAACTTTGTTGTGAAATTTCGTTCTCCCAGTATTCCATGTGTTTTCTTAGACAGAAGGCGCCCTTTTTTCTAGCCAGTTGACGTCGTGGATGATTCTATACGCGTAAGAACGATAAAATCCTCTTTGCATTTGAGAGGACCCGATCCGTACCGTATTGACAGCTCGAAGATTTCAGCGAAATAATTGTGCTAAACCGGAAATACTGAGAGTACAACGAACGAAATTAGCTAGCTGGGATACTGTCACAGTTATGTAAACAACGGTAGCAATCACTGGCCTTTTTGAGGGTCTGCTCACAGGCCAACCATAATGACATGACACATATGCCTATTAGTCTGGCGCGACTGGTGGGTACTAGCGTCATAAAAAAAATGTCAGTGGCTGCCATAGGCAATGGCAAACTATTGATGTTTATTTGGTGTAGCGGGCGACAGCCGAGTAATGAGTAAGCGTTTCAGTAAAAACAGTAATATTGGCAACGGTTTACTGCCATGTGTTCTCTGTAAGCGAGAAACAGTGTAATCCCGTACGAAACCCATATACGCAGCCACTGCGATGACCGGCACGTTCCTCTCAAGCATATCGCCCTTCTTCCCCTTATTCGTTCCCCGCCTTCATCGATGTCCAAATAAAGCTGAGGCCGCTAGCAGAGACAATGCCGCGGAATGGGCCGAGCTATCTTGTGTAAGGATATGTGGATGGTGTACTTCGTGTTTAACAGGCAGCAGTAGTGGCAAAGACAGGCAAATATTAAAAGCGAAGGGGATCGGAGAAAAAGGGCTTGGGAGGGGCGAAGAGACGCAGCACGTCTTAGCTGTTTTTTCCCCTGTCCGTCGAATCTCTCTGTCTTCCTTTCACCCTGTTTCTGAATCTCGACGCTGGTCCCCACTTAGCTGAGCCCATTCCTGAGCTTCGTTTTTAGCTCGAGTACTTAATAGCAGTTTCCTTCGTCTGCCTGCATCTCTATAAGCTCTCGCAGCCACCCAGCAACCATCGTCATTGTCGTCATAGAATGAATCGGAGTGAGCCGCAACAAACGCGTCTCAACAGCGGAGCACCACCGAGGGACAAACGTGGCCAGCTGGCTGCGTAGTCGGTTGCTCGGCGGCAACACCAACAACAATGGTAACAACGGCAGTAGGAACAAAAGCACAAGCATCGTCCTGCTGCTGCTGGCGGCTAGCGACAGAAACTGGTGGGCGATTCTGGTCTCAACCGATCCATAATGCTCCTA